CCCCACATGTGAAGAAGAAACCATTTGGTCACACGCTGTGAGCCACTGCTTTACCCTGGCAGCTGTAGGTTCTGGCTGCCCATGGGGTTACAGCTTATCATTAAAATATCCAACTTGATTTAACCAGCACTGGCAATGTGGCTAACTGTGGCTGACTCTAGCACAAGACGAAGGCACAGGTGCACACAATGCGTATTTTACCATAAGAAACATATCTTTGTTCCCTCTTTAGATCAACCAACAATTCTTAGCTATAAGCACTGCCCAAAATTACCTATAGTTTGTGCTACAAGTTCCTTGATGAGTCAGCTGTTTAGGAAAGAACACATTTCCCCAGAGAACCAGTGCCCTATGTCCAAGGTAAGGCTCCTGAGTTAGCCAACAGAAGATGTTTTAGTCCACTCTGGACTTGAAATACAGAGCTCTGCATGCAGTGTCAACAGAAGGAAAGATGCCGCCGGCCAAATTTAACCACCTGGTTCTAATAAAATTAATCAAGTCATCCTTGGAATGCCCAGAACACATCTCCTTTTCCCAGCAGGTCAGTGGCACCCCTGCCCCTCCCCTCAAAGGCCCCCAAGGAGACGCTCCCTTCTGAGTAAGGGATCTGTGCTCAGTGGGGCAGCTGCAGGAGGAGACCTCCAAGAGCTGGCCGGTCCCCACAGCCATCAGCCCACAGGACTCCCTCCATCAGCAGTCCTGCGCGGGAACTGCCGTTGCCCTCCCCAGGGCACTGCCTGTGGACCAGCCAGGACACCCTAACACTGCTCACGGTCCTCCCCATATTCTCCTGCCCCCCAAATAAAAAAAGGCCTCTGGAGGTCCCTGGGGTTTCGGACTCATCAGAATACAGCCCATGACTCCAAAGCTGCCTTCTATCCTTGTTCCCCCAGCAGGGAAGGCAAAGCCCTTCCTCAGGCTGTCTCTAACAGAGCGAGAGACAGAACGCAGAAGCTTCCTCTGCTGCCCTTCTCTGGAAGATATTCCACCCCATGAGCAGAGTCCCGGGGCTACGGAAGAGGCTGCAGGGTGAAGAGGGCGGAAGAAGGGACAGGACAGGATGAAGCAAGCCTGCAGGAGGAGGCAGAAAAGGACGGTGCTCCTCCTTCCTCCGCCAGCTCCACACCCGGCTAAGCTGGGGGCAGGGACGCAAAGGTGAACAAGCCAGAGGCCTGGCACCAAAGAGGGGAGCACAATCCGGTGGGAAAAGACACAAATACAAAAAGGGATGAAGTGGAAGAAGAGGCACATTCGAAGAACGAACACAAGATGCATGTCTGGGAATTCAGAGGGGAGTCAAGGGTGCTTCACAGAGGAGGGACAAGCCAGACCGGAAAGACAGCAGGGTGCACCGGCAGCTGGGGAGCACAAGCACAGGAGGATGAAACAGCAGGGCGGCTGGCGGGGGAGCTCACCCCAGGGTGAGTGCAGGGCAGGGCCAGCAGGGTTCAGGGGCATGGCGGGAAAGACGGGGAGGGGTGGGAACACAGAGCAAGGGAGAAGGCTAAAG